AGAAGATATAAAATATACAGATGTGGCACTATGGGGTTTATAGCCTTGGAAGAGCAAAATCTCAGGTAGTTTTCATGATGGCTAGCAAAGTTGGGCCCATATTTTTGAAGTTATATAGGCAGCTAAGGATGACGTTTTGGTAGTTAGTGAGATTTTTAAAAGATGCCTAACAACCATTCATTTAAAATTAGATGTTACTTATCTATTTAGATTATGAACACAACATGAAAAAAATATAGATGATCCTAGTTAAATGGAAAAAAAGCATATGAAGTAGAGTGAGTCATATATATCCGCATAAATGACTATAAAAACAATCAGAAAAACCTAGTACAGTATTCATTACATTAACAATAGAAGGTTTCTCTCTCTGGAGTAAGAGGAAAGGAAATATTAGATAATCATCTTCCAAAGCTTTGAATGATGACAAGATGTCATATAGAATTCCTGTATCAAGGACTCTTTAAACAACTCTTCAGTCATAGAATGTAAGCTATGCCAGCTAGTGACTTTTTTTTTCTTTCACTTGAGGATTAAAGATTATCAAAATGATCCTGCAGTAAATAGTTCCTGAGCTGCAGCTGATAGCAAAATAGATCAAAAATATTAATGTCTGAGCACTGAAACTATGTTGACAGTAACTGAAATGTTTTTCAGATGCTACTATCAAGAAAACTGGGGAGACATAATTAGTCATCCTTCAGAAGCAAAAGATTTTACTAGTTCCTCATGATAATCAGTATATTAAATTATATCATGAAGTAAATAATTGTATTAAAATATAATAGCAGTATATTTTCTATTGAAAAATCAGGGTTATAATAGGTTACACACACAAGCATTCATCATTACCAGCAGGAAGTAAGCAGGTGGCAAGTCCTTCTGTTTGATTGACTGGGAAGAAATGGATGACTTAGATTTGCAGGGAAATCGGATGCACACCTTGTGAGCAGGGCTACATAAAACACCTATTTACTTTCTTCACAGTCTAAAAGCTTTTAAAACTTCATTGGGGCAACAGATATGAGTAAAATGAAAAACATTTAATCCAAAAGTAGGAGATCATTTTCTGCCATTTTCTCTTTCACCTTTTCTAAGTCCTATGACAGGCAATGAGCAACCATGTTTCTCCAGATTTTCAGTAGACTCTGTAAAGTTCTATAGAACTTTGATTCCTAAAATTGTGTCATTTCCTTCCCCCTTCCCTCTGCCAATGTTAGTTTTATAGGACAAAGGGTTAATTATTTGTTGCACAATGCATAGTTTCATGTGCTACAATTAACCCTTTGTCCTATAAAGCTAACACTGGCAGAGGGAATGTTCTCAAAATGTTTGGGCTCCGGAGCCCTTTACATGCGTAAAAATTTATGTGGAGCCCCAGGGGTCCACTGATTGTATGTGGAGCACAGTTTGAGAAACACTGATGTAGAAAATATGCTTATTTTTGCCATAAAAATCATGGAATGTTCTATGGAAATTGACACATTTTCAAAACTTTAAGAATACATTTTGAGTTGTTTTGAATGCAATTACAAATATTTCCCTTGTATAGATTTCTGTCATTAGAAAACTTTCAAGGTTTGGAGTCCATTCTCACAATCTTTCACAGTCAGTAAAAATAGAATTCCAATACTGAATTTTGTAAACTGGTATTTTTCATGCCTCTACATGGACATGGCCAATGTGAAATCCAACCGTTTCCCAAAGTGGAGTTAAAATTACTATCACCTGCTCCTGAGTCTTCCTAATAACATTTGAGATTTTCAAGTCCCTTGCTTTGTGTTTTTAAAAAGCATTTCCCATTCAGTGCTGTATTAGAAGTCCATGCAAATATCAGGACAAACTGACCAAAAGGCTACACAAGGGAACTTACTACAGGGAAATAGTAAGAGAGACCATACTCACAGTATGTGACAAAAAAAAAAATCAAGAAAATGTTTGCTTGCTTTCTTCATTTTTTTAACTTATAGAAATGTCAGCT